ATATATTAGAAAAAAACTATTTAGTACAGTTGCACCCCCCCACCCCCAGTGGCACAGCGGTATGTCTGTGGTTTTGATACCCATGGTGGGCAGAGCACAGATAGCCCTTTGTGTAGCTTTGTGCTTAACTACAAAGAACAAATAGTATAGTTACTTTTCCTTCATTTCTGTAAACCAAACCTTGCATTGTATTTGATGAGTATCTGTGCTCCTGATACATTCACACTAACTAAATGTTTTGTATGGTTTGTTTGTTTATAGTTAATCACAAAGCTACATAAGTGGCAATCTGTGCTATGCTCCCCACAATTTTCAGCAGTGTGAATCCTCAGGATTATCACTGAGCCATTGAAAGGAGTTTTGTATGGAGATAAAAACACTAGCATAAAATTGGTTTGGAAAGAGTACCAATTTCAAGCTAAAATAAAAATTGTCAAATGAACATTTTATTGTAGTTGTACAGATGGTGAATAATAAATGATAAATTTAATAAATTATAAGCACTCTTTTTTATTACACTCAAACAGAAAATCATTGTGGAACTTCACACTGAACATATATATTATAGGTTGTAGGATAAACTTGTTAATTACCACAGAAAATTAAAGCTTTATTTTATTTCATTCAACGGTGATATCTAAAATTTGAATATTTTAATATTGAACAAATGGTTAATATTAATACATTGATGAACATACACAAAGAAATTAGTTGCATTTGATGTTTTATACATGTCTGCCACTTTGCAAAACATTATACTGTTAAAATGAAGGATTCATAAAACTTATGAACATTATTCAACCCTCAGTTATTTAACAATAAATTATTCAGAACCTACAGAAAATAAATCAGTGTTACTTTTGAAACTTAGTGTAACTCTTAAATATACAAAGAGTAGTAACATTCAGAAACTACTGAGAATGATCCATGGAAAGTAGGAATGTTAAAGTCATAACTTCTAGTTGCTTAAACAGTGGGGTGGTTGAAAATTTAAATCAAAGTATTCATGAAGTTGTTAATATTAGTGTAAGCTTCTAAATGTACTGTGGAAAAACTATATAGAGCTCTTCCTACCCTACTGTTGAAAATTCCCAATGAAAAGGTTAGTGTAAATCTTCCTAATGCACTATTGAAAAATTGCAGTGAAGGATCCATAAACTGGTGAATGTTAATGTAACACTTTATAATGTACTGAAAAGAAACTGCAGTGAAGGACACATTAACTTATGAATATTGGGGTAACTTTTCCCAATGTACTATTGAAAAACTGCAGTGAAGTATCTATGAAACTATGAATGTTAGTGTAACTTTTCCTAATGCACTGTTGAAAAACTGCAGTGAAAGATTCATGAAAATGTGTCTGTTAATGTAATTCTTGCCAATGCATTCTTGAACAACTGCAGAGAAGGATCCATGAACTTGTGAATGTTAGAGTAACTCTTCTTAAGTACTCTTGACAAACTGCATTGAACAAACAACGAACCTATGAATGTTTGTATATATTTTTCCAATGTATTGCTGAAAAAACTGCAATAAACTATCCATAAACTTGTGAATGCTAGTGTAACTCTTCTTAAGTACTCTTGAAAAACTGCAGGGAAGGATTCATGAATTTTTGTATGTTAGTGTAAGTTTTCCCAATGTACTTTTGAAAAACTGCAGTGAAGAATCCATAAACTTCTGAATGCAAGGATAACTCTTCCCAGGGTACTATTGAAAAACTGCAGTGAAGGATGCATGAACCTGTGAATGCTAGTGTAACTATTCCTAATGTACTGTTGAAAACTGCAGTGAAAAACATGTAAATATTAATGTATCTCTAACAAATGTACTGTTGAAAAATTCAAGTTAAGAATCCATAAACTTGTGAATGTTAGTGTAACTCTTCCTATTGTATTGTTGAAAAGCTGTGATGAAGGATACATGAACTTGTGGATATTAATGCAACTCTACCTAATTGGTAATGCACTGTTGACAAACTGTAGTGCAAGATCCATGAAATTGTGAATGTTAGTATAACTCTTGCTAATATACTTTTGGAAAACTGCAGTGAAGGACCTATGAAACTGAGAATGTTAGTTTTACTATTTTCATACATGAAGGATACATGAACTTGTGGATATTAATGCAACTCTACCTAATTGGTAATGCACTGTTGACAAACTGTAGTGCAAGATCCATGAAATTGTGAATGTTAGTATAACTCTTGCTAATATACTTTTGGAAAACTGCAGTGAAGGACCTATGAAACTGAGAATGTTAGTTTTACTATTTTCAATGTACTCTTTAGAAACAGCAGTAAATAATTAGTGAAGATATAAATGTTAGTGTAACTCTTCCAAATGCATTGGTGAAGAAACTGCAATAAAGAATCCATACACTTGTAAGTGTTCAGGTAACTTTCTAATATACTGTTGAAAAACTGCAGTAAAGGATCCATGAACATATGAATTTTAGTTTAACTTTTCCTAATGTATTTTTCAAAACTGCAGTGAAAGATCCATGAGCTTGTGAATGTTAGTTTAAAATTTCCTGATGTATTGTTCAAAATTGCAGTAAAGAATTCATGAACTATTTCTTCCTAATGTATTATTCAAAAAATGCAGTGAAGGATCCATGATCTTGCAACTGTTAATATAACTATATCTATTTCATAATGTACTGTTAAATAATTATAGTGAAGGATCCATAACCCTATGAATGTTAGTGTTACTCTTCCTAATGTATTGTTCAAAAACTGAAATGAAGGATTCATGATTTTTGAATGTTAGTGTAACTCTTCTTAAAGTATTGTTGAAAAAACTGCAAAGAAGAAACAATAAACTTGTGAATGTAACTCTACCTAATTGTATTGTACTGCTGAAAAACTACAGTGAAGGAACCATGAACCTGAGAATGTTAGTGTAAGCCTTACTATGTACTGTTGAAAAACTGCAGAGAAGGATCCATGAACTGCTGAATGTTAATGTAACAATTACCAATGTATTGTTGAATAAATTGCAGTGAAGAATCCATAAATTTGTGACTGTTAGAGTAAGTCTTTCTAATTCGTAACGTACTATTGAAAAACTGCAGTGAAAGATCCATCTGAATGTGAATGTTAGTTTAACTTTTCCCAATGAATTGATGGGAAACAGTAGTAAAGAATCCATAAACTCATGAATGTTTGTGTAACTATTTCCAGTGTGCTGTTAAAAAACTAAAGTAGAGGATCTATGAACATATGAATGTCAGTGCAATATTTTCCAATTTACTCTTGATAAAAAAGTAGTGAACAAACTATGAGCCTATAGATTTCAGCATATCTTTTCTCAAGGTATTGTTGAAAAAATTGCAACAAATGTACCATAAACTTGGAAATGTTAGTTCAACTCTTCTAAATGTACTGTTGAAAAACTACAGAGAAAGATTTGTGAAATTACAAATGTTAGTGTAACTCTTTCCAATGTGCTGTTGAAAGAGAGCAGTGAAGGATTTATGAAGCTGCAAATGTTATGGTAACTTTTCTCAATTTAGTGTTCAAAAACTGCAGTGAGATATTAATGAACTATTCAATATTAGTGTAATTTGTCTGAATGTGCTGTTGAAAAATTACAGTAAAGGATCTAAAAACCTGTGAATGTGAGAGGAACTCTTCTCAATGCAGTGTTAAAAAACTACAGTGAAGAATGAAGAATTTAATAACCTAGCCATCTCAAGATATGAGCCTTCCTTTATCATCCCTCAAGGGTCCTATCCCATCCTAACATTTTGTTTATCCTTAATGTATTTAAAGAAATCCTTACTGTTAATTTTTACATTTTCAGCCAACCTTTCTGATGTGATAATTTGCTGTTTGATTAACTTTCTCGATCTTCTATAATCTTCTAAATCTCCCATCATTTTAAATTTATGATGTTTTTCTTTAATTCTATCTCTTAATCTCTTGGTGAACCAACTTGGTTTTTTATTTGCAGCCACCCTTTTCTTTCTATAAGTAATATGTTTATCTGGAATATTTAAAAATTTTCTACATTTGGTCAGTGTTTCCAAATAACTCAGCTGCCCAATTCACAACAGATAATTCTTGTCACATCCCTTCAAAATCTGCTTTTTTAAAATTTGTAACCAAAATATCAATATTCCTTATCTCCATATGCAGCGAAACATTGAACCTAACAGAAGAATGATCACTTGCACCAAGATGTTCCCCAATTTCCACCCTCTCAGTCATTTCTATGAACCTGTGAATGTTAATGTATCTCTTCATTATGTAGTTTTGAAGAATCCAAGAACTATGAAATGTTAGCATAACTCTTTCCAATGTGCTGTAGAAAAACTACAGTAAAGGATCTACAAACCTGTAAATGTTAGAGTAACTCTTCTCAATGTAGTATTGATAACTGCAGTGAAGAACCCAAGAACTTGTGAATATTAGGGTAAATCTTCCAAATTGCTAATGTACTGTTGAAAAAGCACAGTGAAGGATCCATGAGCCTTTTAAAAGTTAGTGCTAATATGTAATACTTCCTAATGTTTTGTTCCAAACCTACAATTAAGAATCTATGAAATTCTGAATGTTAGTGTAATTCTTCCTAACTTACTGTTGAAAAATTGCAGAGAAAGGTTTATGAATGTTAGTGTATCTCTTTTAAATATGCTGTTGAAAAGCTGCAGTGAAGGATTTATGAATTTGTGAATATTAGAATAACTCTTGTCAATTTATTGTTGAAAAACTGCAAAGACGAATCGATAATCAGTAAATGTTACTGTATCATTTCCTAATGTACTGTTTAAACACTGTATATATGGATCTATGGACCTTTAAATGTTAGTGTGTCTCTTATCAATGTACTGTTTAAACACTGTATATATGGATCTATGAACCTTTAAATGTTAGTGTGTCTCTTTCCAATGTACTGTTTAAACACTGTATATATGGATCTATGAACCTTTAAATTTTAGTGTATCTCTTCTCAATGTACTGTTTAAACATTGTATATATGGATCTATGAACCTTTAAATGTTAGTGTATCTCTTATCAATGTACTCTTGAAAAACAGCAGTGAAAAACCACAAACCTGTGAATGTTAGTGTAATTCTTCCAAATTTGTGATGTACTGTTGTGAAAAATCCATGAACCTATCAATGTTAGTGTATATATTCCTATTATAGTTGAAAAATTGCAGTGAAGGATCCTTGAACCTGTGATTGTTAGTTTATCTCTTCCTAATGTACTCTTGAAAATCTGCAGTGATGAAACCATGAACCTTAAAACTTTTTAACGTTTGTTTAAGTCTTTCCTAATGTACTGTTAAAAAACTGCTGTGAAGAATCAGTAAGTTGTGAATGTTAATGTAAATCTTGCAGATGTGTTATTGAGAAACTGCAGTGAACCATCCATGAAAGTTATTGATCTATGTGTATCATCTAACTACTGCAAAAGTATGTTGTACATTTATACTCAATTTCCTCATTTCTTTTGGTTATCAATCATACTTTTTAAAACATCTTAATTTGAAAGGTTTTAAATGTGATTACATTCTTTGAATTTTTTAAACAAGTATTAAAAATGCTACAGGAGCAAACTTTCCCATTAATGATTATTTAGAAATTGAAATATGAGCTGGAATTGTAATGATTCAAAGTTTTAATATAAATAACCTTTTTATACTTATGAAACAGATTTTCTTAATTAACCAAGTAAAAAATTATATAATTTGAGTTGAACAATGTAATTTATGCAACAAAAAAAGTTTTATGGGCAAAAATAGTAGTAAAATAGTACTTTATCTACTCTTCAACGTAGAAGAAGAAAATGTCCAAACTCTAAAAATGGATTAGCCCAGAAAACCTATAGCTGAACAGTTACTTAAGTTAATATATAAAGTGAACACTGTATTTGAATAATCATAAAAAATACAATATATAATATTAAATATTAAGAAACAAATCTATGTGTACAGTGAACATACAAAAACTAACAGCCCCTCCCAAAACACGATCTTTAGGTTTTGCAACTATTACTTGAGTATTAAAAAAGTCTAAAATTTCATGTTATATTGATGTAAGTATAAACACTCAGTAAGGTCATGTATAAGCTTCCTTGTATTGTAATTATTTGTCAAACAGTAAAAATAGCTTACTTACTGAATGCTCACCAATCCTTAAAGAACTCTTCCTCTGAATTAGATCATGAACTGACTTAGCTAAAGCCTGAAAATAAGATTTAAGTGTGTTTGTACATACTCACAAAATTAAGACTTTGAAAATTAGAAATAGGCTTTAAGCTATGTGATATGAATTATAGTTTTAATATATTTACTTCTTATGACTGACCTTATTGCTAAGATTATCTGAGGATTTTCATGTGCTTTGTATAAAGTTATATATGTATATATAAGTGAAAAAGCCTAATACTATAATTTACATCAAGTGTATATAGATGATTAATTTAACACTATACAAAAAATGATGAAAAAATTAATACAGAAAAAAAATCAAAAGTGAAACTCAAAACAGTAATCAAAATTAGAAAGTTGATCATTATCCAAATACAAATATATCCATTATATTGCTAGTAATATGCATTAAACAAGAAAATTAAGAATTATACTGTTTGTCAAGAAAGCATAAAATATTTTCAAGGAAAGTGACTGTGTTAACAGCCCCCAAAATTATTGGGGGTATCCTGTCTACCAGGAGATAATTCAAGAAATATAGATGAAAAACAAGACATCTGGCAAGGAAGATCAAATAGGGGTTAGGTACATCCCAACACCTACTACCACCATGGGTGTCTGAAGGAGGGGCAAGGGAAAATGAGAAACATAATTATTTATTTATTCAGCATATGTATATGAATTTTTTATTCAGTTCACAAATTTATGCTACTTTGCGTAACGATACCCATGACTACCACTAACTAATAGTTTTAAATTATGATTTTATAAATATTTATATCAAAGATCTTTATTTTGGGTTAATTAAATTTAGAGTAAAATGGGCTCATTTTCAACTTTATAATAATATCATTCAAGTAAAGGATAAAAAAAAAGTAAAATCTTATATTTTGATAGAATTTAAGCATAAAGTTTATGATGTTAACATTTTTCTTACACTTAAAATGTATTTTTGATATGCTTTTACCTCCTCTCAAATAAAGCTATCTCGATCTTCTTCTGCCCTCTAAGCATTGCTAAAAATTTTAATTATCACCACACCAGTCTGAATACCCCAATTTTTGCACTATTTCTGAACATATGCATATCCTGTGACTACTTTCCACCAATAGTATTACACCACCTATATTGGTGCAGCTAACTCCCTCTGCTATTCCCACTTAATCTTCACTTTTGAGAATTGGCAGGCTCCAAAAGAAGAACATAAGGAGTGGAGAGGAAGGGTAGGAAGTACCTATATAAATTTTCAGTTTAAGAAAAATGTTAACTTATAATACAGTCTTACCTCCTCTCATACAAAGATAGAATCCCACATTGCAAAGGTGGGGGGAACTGTGTAGGTGCACAATATAGAAACCAAGCAGAAAGCAATCACCCAGAATGAATGGTTGTACTCTGAGATGAAAATGAAGCACACTTGTGAGGTACTACTCTTTGCCCATGAAATAGGAAATTATTCTCATACAGGCAGAAAAAAGGTTGTGCACAAGTAAAAATTGTTCTCTAGGTGCAATCCATAGTAAAATATAAACAGAATTAGTTATGTACATTCACAACCTCAACTGGATAGAAGAGGTCCCACAGCTCATTCTCAGCATTAGGAGGTTGAGGATAAAAAACAAATATATTGTAACATAATGAGATATATGGTAACATAAACATAGTGGTTAGTGCATGTGGACCATGTTGTATATACTCATCAATGCCAACCATAAGTAAACAGTGTGTTATATGTCAAGCAACCAGAATTACAAAGAGGAAGTTAGTTTTCAGCCGAAAGTGGACAAACTCTCAAAACAAACATAGGAGCAAGAAGTACAACAAACCAAACTTGGCATTGCCTCAACTCAACTATAAGAATGAGGCAATATTTGTAACTGGTATTACGAGTATAATTCATAAATAACTCAACTGTAAATGCAGGGAAAAAACATCCTTCATCCAGAATTATGAGGAGGAAATGAAACATTTGCTCAATCATAGGAACAGTGTACATATGTATGAAGTCCCCAAACTCAACTGTAAAGTAGAGAAATAACCCAGTATTATAAGGAGGATCCCGTGTAGCCTGGATCTGTTCCAACCTATATTTTATTTTGAAAGCTATCCACTTGGGAAAAAAAACATCCATGAGAAATGGAAGGAGGTAAACCAGCTTTGTCCTCTTTTCACTGAGTGGATAATCTTGAGCATGTATGGTAAAGCAAATTTCTAAACTCCCTCAGGAGGAAGCCTCTATGGTCTACCACCCCAGTGATTGGGAACCAGGAAGTGGTAAGGACTCCCTTGCTCCAATGGAAGAAAAATGGGGAAGTAAATGTGATGGGGAGTCCGGAGGAACATCACACCAGAGAAAGTGCAATGAGTGTCCACGATTTCCTATTTTCAAAAACAGACTGACCCAAATTTATTCAACCAAAGGGTCAGCAGGGATGGGCAGAAATCCCTTTCTGCTTTACTCATGAAATGAATGAGTGACAGTCCACCATTGAGTGAAACGTACTGATATATATATATATATATTTACCACTAGGTATGTTACCAATGGTCTTTAGGAAATATCCCATCTCTACAGTGAGAGTTATAGTGCAATCAGTAAATAGTGCAGGACTGAAGCAAAGCATACCTGACCAGGCAACATTTGCCACAGAGTGGGATTGAATTATCAGTGGTTAAAAGTAAGGTTGCTGAAAAATAAAAACATAAATGAAAGGAAGTGATAAGACTTACCCCAGTCAAAGGTGAATAGACAGGTGTAGAATTGCCACAGGAGGGAGACAATATCCACCAAAGGCAGATACAGGTTGTGCAGGTAATTAGCAACGAAGGTATTGGGAGTATTCCACATTCCAGTTTGGGCAATCTAGCTCCAACAGATGGCAAAGGCGAGAAGCCAAAAATATGGTGATATGACAAGAACAAATATTGTGGAAATGGCCACTTCCATGAATAAGTCCGAATACACCAACCTAATGAGTTCACAAATCCAACCAGTTAACATGACAGGGGATATATTATGGGAAATGGAAGGGTTTCAGGGAATAAAAGTCAGGAACTTAAACCTCGAAAAGTGGAAGAACATGCCACTCTAAGGAATGAACCAGACAAAGAAGCCAATCAAGATCGGAATGGGAGTACCAGTGGGAGATGGAAGTTAAGGAAATGGATGTAAAAGCCAAACAGCCTTCACAGGCAACATAAGTGTGAGGGAGGGCTATTTGGGACATAATATGCCATAATAGGAATGGTAGAGGATGCGGGTAACATTAAAGGCAGAAATATCTGATCAACCACGTCCACAAGCAAGGAGGAGAAGGAAATAGGTCTAGAGGGAGAGATGGTAGAGAATACATGAAGACACAGGTTCAAAGGGGGGATGGAAAAGGCATAAAGGACCACACTGAGATCTCAATCAGGCAAATGAAATGAACATGGAGGATACATGGCTTGAAATGAGTGGGAAAAGAAGGGAAATTTGTATGTATTTCTTCACAGACACAATGAACCTCCATGCTAAATTAATGTAGATCCAGCCACAGAGGGTGAAGTAGTGGAAAAAAATGCCCATAAAAACTGCAAAATTTAAAATTTGTATGTACCTCCGCATGGACTTACTGAACCTCCATAACAATTTCGGTGAAGATCCATTTATACCCTGCAATGAACAGACAACACGCTCTATTTTTATAAACTGTCTGGTGAATTAGGTTTTTTTTCATCTTCAGGTTCTTTTTCCTAATTCCTGTGATAGTTATTTAAATTAATAACATTGAGATTTATGTTGTATTATTTATTGTTACGACAGCGGAAGTCACGTGACGCTGGTAACACGTGATGAGATTCTCGAAGGATCATGAATTTTTCTGGCAACTCTAGTTTGTTCCAAGCGCCCTCTTTTTTTTTAGATATATATATGCCCTGCAAATAAAGCGAGGATAGAGTTGCATAGATAGATAGATTGAAGATAGAGAAAATTGAGTTAAGCGAACAGTAGGCACCTTAAGTAAAGTGTGTGAACCACTGTGATTTATAGCGTGTGTTATAAAGTTTAAAATGATGGCAAAAATTCTGCATATTACAAAGTTGTGTCAAGAAAGAATAAACTAGTTTTAATTAAGAAAGGACTTG